AAATCATCTTTTATAAATTTTCCAAAACCAAAGAGGTTGGACGTTTTTGAACTGTTTTTGATTCAGGTTTAGTCAATTTAGTCAGCAAAAATGCAAGTTGCGCCATTTCCCGATACTCCCACACAGTGTACTGAGTACTAATTACTCTACCGTGGAGTCTCCACGTCTCCACGGCCCATTGGCGGCCCCAATGGAACAAAAAGAAAGCCTTTCCAGTCCCACCTAGCCGCGCCTCTTGCAATAACAGACATAACAGTAAAGTACCGGTACTGAGTACAGTCCTATTAGTATAATACTACGGTAACAGATTCTGATATTAATGGTCTCTAAGCTCTAAGTACCGGTAGATGCAGTATGCTCTTACTATTATAGTAGAAAGAGGGGCCTTTATTCCTACTTAGAGGCTAAATTACCTCGAAGAATACGCATCAGATTCTGAAAGCTCATCTCAGCTGAAACAAATCTGGAGGCTACGCTCAAGTTGCACAAGTAGATATTATGGTAAAACAAGAAAGATTGTCATTGGTACCATTTCACGCTAACCCTATATTTGCCTAAACTACCTATCAAAAGCGGTCTTCTCGAGCTCCCTTGAAGCATGACGAGACGATTGAGAACTGCTTGCAGGTTCTTTTTCAAGGAAGAACTCTGATGTGGCCTCTTTGTGTTAAATACTTGGTTGTCTGAGGAATGATGGTTTTAATTGCCTGTTCAAACACTCTTAAATAAATGGCGCTTGAAGCATAATTCGCCGGGCAACCTTTTACAGCTGTTGGACGTTGCGAAGGGGCTCCATCTATTAATAGTTATTACGGGCGGCCACACACGAGCCGCTCTCCCAGCCAAGTCTTCCTTGGGCTGTTTGTCTTTACCTGCACCGCCCTTCTCATCGACCACACGAAGACCAAGGAACACAGCAGCTGCGATCAGCAGCAAACCAAGAGCGACCTTCCTTGCTCCTTCATAATATCGCTTAGCAGTCCTTCATGATGCCTTCCTCTGTAGCCTCGTCCTTTCCTCTTCGGCGGCGTCGATCGGATGAAACTAACGCAATCCGAAAGTCGGCGCCACCAGCGATGATGAGACCCAAGTTTGCCGTCGTTGAATCCTCAACAACCAGCACAGCGACTTCCATGTCGTGTTCTTCCTTACACGACGCCGCATCACCAGTAATGGCCCCACCACAAGAACAACCTCCCCGCAGCATTCTCAAAATCAAGACCCAAGAAGAGTCTCTCGCAGCGGAAAGCATGGAAGCGCAACTACCTGCGCGACGACGACGCGGTTGCCGCAAACGAGTCTATTTCACGGAAGTTCAGTTTATGCTGTTTCCGCTCTGCTTGGGCGACAATCCATCCGTCCGTGATGGCTTGCCGCTGGCACTCGACTACTCGGCGCTTCCGCAGTGCCATGTGGAAGGCCTGGAAACCTACGAACGACGACGGCGTCCCAGCTCGTTGCGCAGCAGCAGCGGCAATACTGGTAGTAAGACCTTCAAGCCACGACGGACCCTCGAAGAACTGCGTTTGTCGAAACAAGCGCGTCGGGAACGACTCGATCCATTGGAATACAAACACTGGGAACTGCGGCGTTGTGCCCAACGTGTGCGGCTCCAACAATCGCAACGCGAATGGACCAAACAAACGAGGGGATTGGAGCCCGTCCAAGAATGCCTCGAACTGGCCACCAAGGCTGTCGCCAACGCCACTTGGAATCGACGACGAAAGCAAAAGGAACAAAAGTTTCTAGCAGACTACCGTAGTGGCCGTAGTTTGGAAGAGGCCGTGAAGCAATAGACAAGTCAGCAAGCTACTACACTATCGTACTCCCAACCCAAACAACCGCGGAAACCTGTACATAATAATAAGCACCGCGCAACTTTTCGAGTCAAATGTAAATAATAAGCACGCTCTAGTTACTCTGTTCTGCCGCGACACGTGTATGCATCACTTCCGTAGCATCCCTAGTCACATGTAACGGCGCGTGATGACTACCGTACTGCCTCTTGACACTACATGTAGATAGAGTCTGGCCGTTCTTGGTTCCCTTCTTCGACACTGCCCTATCACAACATCAGACGATCTTAGATGTCCTCGCTTGCTCCATGCGATTGTAGTCTCGTCGCTTGATCCAGGGTCGGCTTGGAGACACCTCCTAACCAGTACTAACAAACGACAACAGCCAACCAATACCTGCGCACTTTCCTACTGCTCTCGTTAGACCCATTCTCTCTTGGAAACGGGCCGAGTCGAGTCGGATACGCTTTGGACAAGATCAGATGTCTAGAGTAGTGGAAGATTAACAATGAGTGATTGCTAGCTAGAGGAAATTGGCCTGATTTGGGGGGCAGCCATCGGCAAGGGCCCATTCCAACACATCTTCATGTCCTGCATTTCGGGCCCTTTGGATGGTCCGACTATCCCAAGGGCAACCATTCGCACGAACCCACATCAAAACATCCAACCAGCCTTTTGCTGCTACTTCAGCGCACGTCTCTTCATTCCAACTACACCCGTTTTCATGAGACCACTGCAGGATTTTGAGATGACCTCCACTGGCAGCCTCTCGGCATGTCCTTGAATCCCATGGACAGCCATTCTTGCGAGCCCACTTGAGGAATCCAAGATAACCATGAAAAGCAGCATCAGAGCACAATCGTGATCGTGCACCCCAAGGACACCCGTTTTCATGAGCCCACCTGAGAATTCCAAAATGTCCATTGGCAGCAGCTTCATCAAATGTTCTTCCATCCCATGGGCACCTGTTTGCACGGGCCCACTTTAGAATGCCCAAATGTCCACTTTCAGCAGCCCTTGCACATGTGTCTTCATTCCATGGACAACCATTGTCATGGGCCCACATCAGAGTTTCCATATGCCCACCATCCGCGGCAGAGGAACAAGTATCTTCGTCCCATGGGCATCCATTCTCTCTGGCCCACTTTACGACTTCCAATTTCCCACGCTTGGCTGCTCTGGAACAAGTGAGTTCATTCCAAGGGCAGCCATTTTCATGGGCCCACATCAGAATTTCCAAATGCCCACCTTCCGCTGCATAATAGCAAGTAGCCTCATCCCAAGGGCAACCATTTTCATGGGCCCACTTGACAATTTCAAAATGTCCATTCTGAGCAGCAAAATAGCAAGTACCATCATCCCAAGGACAGTCATTATCTCTGGCCCATTTCAATAAGTCAATAAATCCACATAGGCAGCTCCAGAGCACACGTACTCATCCCAAGGACAGCCATTCTCTCTGGCCCATTGGATAAGTTCAAAATGACCATGCTGTGCTGCAAAAGCCACACACCCTCATCCCAAGGGCAGGGCCCTTAGCTCTAGCCCACTTGAGAATGTCCAAATGCCCACCTTCTGCAGCCTCCGAGCAGGTCCCATCGTCCCATGTGCAACCATTTTCTCTGGCCCATTTTAACAATTCAAAATGCCCACCCCGAGCAGCTTTGGCACATGTGAGATTGCTCCAAGGACAGTTATTTTCTCTGGCCCATTTCAGGATATCAAAATGACCACTGGCAGCAGCGGCAGAGCATGTTCTGGCATTCCATGGACAGCCATTTTCATGGGCAAATTTCAGAATTTCCAAATGTCCATGTTTCGCTGCAGTTTCACAGACTTTTTCGCTCCATGGAAATCCTTGTTGATGGGCCCACTGAAGAACTGACGGATTCCCCAGTCTAGCAATTTGGACACACACCATTTTGAGAGGAATTTGATGCCCGGCATCCATAGCCAGATGCTGGTAGTAGTATTGAGCACACGACTCGTCGTGAAAGGTAGCACTGAAGCAAGTATCAGTACCAGTTATTGGGAGCTCCACAAAATATTTAGTGACCTTCTTTGGTTGATTCTCCACGGTGGCACAATACTCCTGATAGAGCCGCCTCAACTGTTTGTTGACGGCCCCAAGAAAGGCATAGTGTCCCATGCCCAAGCGGGAAGAATGCTGTCAATCCAAATATCTTTGCGTTCCAACAACATGGAAATGCCACCCATCATCTCAGTCGCACCAGCATCAGAGGAGCGATGCCCTCGTTGATTGGCAGACATGGGTTCGAATGATATGATACAGTACTGGTAGCGGGTTAGGTACATCAAATAATATGTTAGGTGTGGAGTGTGGAGTGTGGAGTGGACGCGATAAAGCAAAGATCATTCCCCCGGTCGTGTGGGCAACTTGTACCATACTAGTAGCGTACCGGTATGCTTTCATTCGGGAATAAATCTTCCGTCCGTTGAGAATTGTACTGAAATTTGGATAGTGAAATCAAAGCAAAAGCACAAGAAGCAACAAGGGGGAAGCCAGAACCCACCTCTCTCACTCTCTTCTTGCCTTTCCCACTTGCACTCTCGTTGCCTGTTTCCTCCACTCCGATTGATCACTCCGTTGCCTCCTTCCCCCCTTGCCATTCCATCGTTCTGCTGATTTTCCTGGAGAGCTCCAGCTGGTTGGAATTGTGTGGCGTAGAGCGTCTTTACATCCAGTACCAATGACAGCCGAACGTCAATCCAAGCAGGCCGCCATGGATGCTGCTTCTCGTACGACTGGCAATCCGCGACCGGTGACACCCACAACAGTTGTCAACGACAATCAGCACCATCCGAGCAAGCAGAAACGAAAGAGTCAGAGAGAGTCCACCAAAGTGGCGCCAGATCCTGCTGCCACAGGAGAAGAGCCGGCTACAGTAGAAGAATCGGAACATGCAGCCACGGAATCTTCCGAATCCAAGAAGAAGAATGGTAGTACTACATGTAGTAGTCCCGATCGATTCTCTCCATCCTCATCATCAGCGTCGTATCCTGGTGTCACGTTGAAGGACACGGTTGGTACTTTGACAGTCACTGCCGATCGTCTATTGTTCAAACCTCAAAACAAGGCAGACAAGGATCACATCTTTGCGTGGCCCTTGGATCTTTTGCAAAAGCATCAAATCAGTGCCAACAATAACGATCAGTGTTTACTCAAACTGATATCTCAACAGAATCCAACAAAAGCCGTCACAATGACGTTTCCACATCGCCATTCTCTGGAAAGCATCCATCAAACGCTCAGCCGCCAGCTCCAACCCCTCCGCAAATACCGCAAAGTCAAAGAGACGCTGCTCAGTACCCAACGCAAACTCAAAGAAGCCAACAAATCCATTGACGAGTTACAAGATGCCAATGAAAAACTGTTGATTGCCTGTGAAAAGTTTGCCAAGAAAAGCAAAGCTTTGACACAAGAATTGACACAAAAACAACTCCAGGAAAATGCCAAACGAGTCTCGTCCACAAAAGTACAAGAATTGGAGAACCGACTGGCAACGCTACAGAATCAAAATGAAAAACTACAAAATGAAAAAACCGCCATGCATATAGAATTCGAAATGGACATGGATGATTGGAAGGATCGCGTACGGAATCTCGAAAATGATTTGGCATTGGAACGGTCCGCCACGGAACGGTTGCTGGAAGACCGACAACCGTGGGAAGAATTGCAGTTGGAAGTGTCGGTATTGGCCAAACAGTTGCTTGCAGAGCGACAAGCTCACCAGCAATTACAAGATCGAGTCGCCAAACAAGAACGACAAGCCGAAGAGTCCTTGTGGCAAGTCCGGCGGCAACGCAACAATGCACTCTTGGAACTGGCGCAAGTCAAAAAGGAACGAGATGGACTCCTCCTAACGATGCAAGAAACGATTCAACAAAATAGTGAGGAGTCACCACTGGATGAGCATAACGGCACTGATGGTGAGGAAAGACAAGAGGAAGCTTTACCCGACAATACGCCATTGACCCGCTTGCGGCAATCAACAACACTACTTTCTCCGTCTCTTGAAGTTGTTTGCCCTTACTCTAGTCATCATCATGGCATCTTGGCACTTGTGTCTCGATGGTTGAATAGCAATGGAGCAATATTAGCAGCACCACTACCACAGATACCTTTGTGGGAAGTCGATGACGTCTTGATACAGCTTGAAATTCTTAACATGACGAACGGTCCGGTGAAATGGGGAGGAAGGCAAGCGCCTCTGTGGAGGTATCCGGAGGCAGATGTGAGTGAGGCTGTCATAGAAGAAGAGCTAAAGAGTCATCACTGTTTACCCGACAACACTCCAGTTGGTGCAGCGGATCAGAACAACTCCCCCCTCTCTAACTGGTGGTGGGATTGGCGTTTCCCCGTGACTGCTCATCAGAGCTATCAGCCGCAAGAGTGCCACATGGAGCTCGATGCGATCAGTTTTGCAACGTCGACAAGGAAGTCCGGTTTCCGATATCCGCACGCTGCTGAGGACTTGGTTGCTCTGTGGAAGCCTCCGGCAAGAACTGGTTGAGATAAGGAATCCGTTTCCAGCGGAGGTTCAATGCTAGTATATCACGGCAATATCCTGGATGCATACGTTTTTGGGAATGGATAATGAAACTAAATGTTTAGACTTGGAGTTTGAGCGAAAGGAATCAACATGCACAAAGAGAGTCATCGTCGCTGGGTGCATTGGTATCAGGGTCATTCTCCATTGGCGTTTGATTGCCGCGTGCTGGGGCTGCCCTAGCAGAAAAGTGCTGCTTCCTGGACTGGCAACTCTTTTTGGCAAACTTGCATCGGTTTGCCGCTCTCCAGTATGTCCTCCTTGGATCTGGATTTTTCTTCATCTCCCAAGACATCATGTGTGTGGGTTGGTTCCTCAGAGCCAACACTGGTTTGCGCCTTGGGGCGCTCCGCTTTGTTCGCAGAGCGGAATCGATGAAAGAGGTAGAATCCAGCAACAAGGAACACAATGCCAATGACCCCGTGCACAATTGCCACAATCAGAACCACAATGTTGCCCCCATCATCGTCTTCTTTCTGATCCCCATCATCGTAGACTTTCTGATCGATGGTGCAACCTGCCACAGTTTCCCCTGCACAACTAAAGGAGCTTTGTTCTCCAAATTCCAAGCAGCCAATGAGTCGCCCAGCGCAAAAGTTGTAGCAATCACAAACTGCCATGGTAACCTTGAGCAATTGGGAGCACGCCTCGTCGGTGTTGAGAAGTGTCGCAGCACATGTGGGATCAGACGTGGGTGATGGCTCAATCACTGTGATGCCGGCCACGCCTACCTGAACGGTTGGACTTGCAGTAACGTCACCAGGGCTCGTAGTGGGCGCTGGCGCTCCCATGGTTCCATCTGCTGTGCTACTAGTCGTGGCGCCCGGAGTAGCACCGGGAGTGGCCGATGCCGTCGCTGCGGGGGTTGCTGCAGGTGTTGCTGTGAGAAGGACTGTTTGTGCAGGGCTGTTATTGTTGGCCAGGTGTCGAAGAGCTTGTGGGTCCCCCATCACCAGCGACGAGGCAAGCGCTAGGACGAGAAGTACGTTCAAAACATTCCTGGTCCACATCGTTGCCTGTTGTTTCGGTCAAGGTGTACTGTTCAAATCTCGTTGGTTGCTTTCCTGGTTGATAACACGTTATTATTGTGGGAGGAAAGTGATAAGAGAAAGCCATGATGTCTCCTCGATTGGGAACAACGATGGGCTTTTATGTTGCCTGGAGTTTTCACAGTTCTGAGGTGCTACTTTACGCAGCTCTTTGCAGCTCTTTATCCATGTTGCCGCAAGTACAGTCGTGCTGGCGCAGTGCGTGGTACTGGTAGCAGAACTGGTACCGATCGAGGGAACCTGAGTGCAACGTAGCAGATACTGGTACCGGTCGAGGGAACCTGAGTGCAACCATCAAAGCTTATTCAAATCCCTGGTACTCAATTAGACTCGACTCTATAACAAAGATCCAATCAAAGGTTTAATCCAACAAGAATGCAAGAAAATTTCCAAAACCCTGTGCGAATCCAATCGCGCCTCCTTTCATCCCTTTCTTGTGTTTCTGTGCCGCTCGAGCTACATGTACTCGCACCCCAACCACTGGATTGGTCCAGTCATGTGCAGGCTAGCTTCGCGCCGCATACTCGCTGAAGAATCAACCTGTATAAAACGTAAATTTACAAAACTTCTAGCACAATGAGAAACGTAAAATTCGAAATACCTTGTTATTAAGAATCTCCGTGACGTGCTGACGCTAATGTCTAGCAACTAGCTAGCTAGAGCTAGGTAGTCGTGCCACAGCTACAAATAGGTTGTCCAGTACTAGTTATCACCACAAACATTCAATTGTATTGCTTAAGAGCTTGCTCCCAGCCAGGGTTGCTTGAGATATTACAGCTGGGAGCAAGTAGCAAACCACAAGCACATTCAAACATGTAATGGATAGCTCTTCTTTTGTTCTCCACGTGTGTGAGTTTGCTGTTCATTGTTTTGAACTTTTCTGATTCTGCTTGAGTGACATCAAACAGACTTACCAATTGTGAAGTTTGCTCATCAAGTCTAGCACCAAAGCTTGGGCCCGCTGCCGGCAGAGTCGTACCCAAGCCAACATATTGTTGCAAGTTTTCAAAGAAACCCTGTCTGCTACCACCAAATGATAAAGGATCAGCATCTCCCAGAAGGGGGTAGCTTGTATAGAATTCTGATCTTCTGGCCTCTGTAGTGGTTAGCTTGGCACCGTTCTTATGCTCCACATCTCTTTGGTACATGTACCGACCGGGGCTGACAGAGGAGCTTGCCACAATTCCAGCACGAACTCATTGTGTTGGAGGAAATATACCTGACACCTCTTTACTATCGATGAAATTAGCAATAGGAGCCTCTATGGGTGCGCCACAGCTGTGCTGGTTTAGTCGGATGGAAACAATGCTTTTCATCGTGTACAGTCAATCAGTACACACAGCATTGCAGCCATGTGAGTGACAATTTGTATATAGCTGAGGCATGCCTATGTGTTGCAGAGCATACATACCCTTCAGCCTAGATACATTGGAATGTTCCAGACCAACAGTCATCTCCTAGGATCTCCAACAGACGGATATCCTCTCCAAAAGAGCCAGTTCTTTCAACTGGAGTGAAATCGTGGTACTGGTGTTTTAGCCCCAACTATAGGACCCACTCATAAC